GTCTTGTGACCCCAGCATTCATTCCTGCCTGTGGCAGGGGGTCAGGCTAGATGATCTGTTCAGGTCCCTCCTGACCCTAGCTACGATGAAACTATGAAACTATTAATTAACTGTGACCAGCTACACCTGCAAAGTACCTGTCATGCCATAAAAAGCTTCAATTAGCTGCTAAGTTAGATATTGAAAATATGTACTAACTTCATAGCTGGTTGCTATCCAGCTTTAATTTGCACATGTAGCAGGGTCTCCCCTGCAGCTGGGAGCTATGTCAGCTGACCAGGCTCCCACCCACAGGGGTGCATCACGACCAGCTGTGGCTGGAAGTTCCACTGCTAAGAGGACTCACAGCCCTAGCAGTGCCTGGCAGCTAAAGACGCTGTATCTTGGTAGACGTGGGGCATGGCTGTGCTCTCCCAGCCCTGAAGGTATGTGGTATACTTCTGGGGTTGGGAGACTGCAGCTGCTGGGATCTCCCAGCTGTGTGGAGCTTCACACACGCCTAGGGCTGAAAAACTGCAGCTGCTGTGATCTCCCAACTGTCGGGGTCTCCACAGCTGCAAGAACTTGCTCCTTGCTGGTGCACTGGGCTCGCCTTGCACTGGCAATAAGGTGCAATGGGATCCAATGTGCGATCCCATCCATGAATGCCATGTGCACCCAGAGGTTGGGGGGGGCATGGCGAACTCCCACAGGCAGCAGCAGTGGCAGCGCTGCTGGTGGCAGGAATGTGGTGGTGGCAAGTGGGGAGCTCCTGCAGGCAGCCCCAGCGCTGTGGGCAGTGGGGGGGAGGGGGGGGGGCGGGGGGGGAGGGGGGGAGGAGGGTGGTGAGCACCGACCAGTGGTTGGTGACCATCCACAGACACTGGAGTCGGGGGCAGGGTGGGGTGGCGAACTGTGACTGCCTTCAGGCGCAACCGACTGTGTTGGCGGTGCCTTTTTGCAAGGGGTGCACTGCCACGCTTGGTGGGTGAACGAGCACCCTCGTGCACCCCCTACATGTTGCCAACGATCCCATCCCATGATTACATACGTGTGGCATGGCAGGAGGCCCCATGTCTACTGCATATTAGGTCCCAACACACATTTACCTGCCCTAACACTAGTGTGTGTGGTGGAATCTGGCCCTTAGTGTGGTTCCTGCAAGGTGCTAAGCACCTTCACTTTTCCATTGACTTCTGTGAAAATTGTTCACTGCCTTGCAGGATCAGGTCTTTAAAAATTCATATTGTAGCACTTTCTGGTAAGTGGCATATCCTTTTCACTTTCCCAGCACCATCCACTTCCTTAATATTTGTACTATCCATAGAAAATATATTTATTTTCATGAAGCATATTTTCCAACAGAAAGATTTCCAAGAATAAGAGCCAACCTAAGATTATCTGAGTGCAGGAAAACCTGCAGTTTGCTTTCAATCCTGCAAAACCTTGTGCATGTGAGTTGTCACTGACTATGTGATTTCAAAGCAGCCAATGGGACTGTGCACGTCAGGATGACTGAAGTGACAAGGGACTTGCAGGTAAAAGCCTAGTTCTATATGTTTACTTCTATGAAGTGTGAAAAAAACCCTCATATCAGAACTACAGAAGCTTGGTAACAGTCCAAATAAAGAAGCTGCTCTTTATAAAATTGGTGTCAAAAGAATTACTCCATTCTGGAGGCTCTGTAAATAAGTTTTGCTGTTTTGCTTCTACCTAATATGGTGAAAAATATAACAGGGATGATTGTTAGGCATGACTAGTATGACAAGATTTAAAGTACCTGCCTCATATTACCATTCAGAGAGGCAACAAATAGTTCTTGCTGGTCTGCAGTTAATCTTAGAGTATTGGCTGAGAAGTCCACAACACTAATTATAGACTCTGTGTATTGCTATCAGTGGGTTCATGCTGAAAGACACTCAGAGGCAGAAATCAGTTTCAAAGTATATCTAACACAATTCTGACTCAGGAAAGACTGCATTGCCTTGCTTTCAATTTGTTAAACAATGAGCATGTGATAGAAATTATCAAGGATGTGGCATAATAACCATAATAGTCAAATAAGTTTAACTGCATGTTTACCTGGTAAATTACAACCCGAAACTTGTTTTTTCTCAGCATCTCCTCTTGCTTGGCTTCAACTTTTTGCACATTATCACCCTGCTTTTCCACACGTGCTTTTACTTCTTTAACTTTGGAACTAACCTTGCGGGTCTTCTCAAGCAACTTGTTAACTGTGTAGCTCGTATTGCCATGAGCCTGGGCAAGCTTTAAAATATCAATCTGTACTGTCTTGATAGCATTTTCCATGTCTCTGTGCCGTTCCTCTATTCTTTTCTGACTTGCCTGTACACTGTCCACAATGTTGGCCACTTTATCTAGGACCCTCACGATTGTAAATGCAGGGTCTTGTTCTTCTTCGTCTTCTGTGACATTTGACAGGCGATTTTGGTGAATTCTGTCAGTCTCTGAGATAACTTCATGGTGATCCATTTTGCTTGTCTCTAGTCAGGTCTACAGGAACCAAAGAATATATGTTCTCCACAAAGACTGTTCAGATCCTAGGGGAACAATTCTGCCTCTAGATCAAGAAGTCAGATCGACAACTGGCCTGAGCAATATTCAAAGCAGGGCGTGAAACTCCATCCTTGGAGATTGGTCAAATATTTATAACTACAAAATATCCATACGTGAATGTTCAGATACTTTCTGCAATATGAAACCTCTAACCAGTCATGCCTGGAAAGGAACATACGTTTAAAGGGTCATGTTTCTGTACCAGTGAAGTCCTTGATGTTAATCTAGGAGAGTTAAGCAATTTACAAATTATGTTGGAAAGCCAGCTAGCATATTTTGGAAGAACTGTGGTTGCTTTCATTTTAATTAAGTGCTTTCCCTGAGGAAATTCAGACAATGTTTTCAAAAGTAACCATAACTGTATTTAAACCAAAAGAATCAGTATGCAAATCATTACAGCTACCACATCAAGTAACAAATAAACACACTAAACAGAGACAATATAGTGAAAACATTGTATTGTGACATGCTTTTCCAGTTCAAAATGTTGAAAGCTTTTTATTGAAGAAATTACTAAATCCTACATGCAGAATTTTAAAAGCCTAAACTACATATTAAACAGCTGAACACATCCTACTCACATTTTCTCTCTGGATCTTTCAAACAACAACTAACAGGCTATTAATATAACTATGACCAGCAAACTAATTTGGATGGCCTTAATTTAGCTCTTGAAAGTATTCTATACAAGAGCGCTGGTAATTCATTGACTTTATTTTTTGTTTACTGCATTTTAGTCACAAACACTATACAATCTGTATCATTGGTGTTAAAACATGTATCCTCTTAAAAAAGTTTAATAAGTATTAAAGCAGTTTTAACAGTGATAAAGTAGGCTTTATTCCAATTATTTGAATTTGATTATTCAACACTGGTTTTTACAATACTTAAATCTACAAAGACCTACTTTTTTGGACCTGTGCCAGCTGCCTCAATCAGGAAATTTCCCAAATTATGAAATTTATATTTTACTCTTTAAAAATAAAGTGTCAGTATTATTTATGAAGATGGTAGTGCTCAGACCCAGCCCATACATTTTATAAATATGTTACAACTACGCACAGCACACAGTTTCACAGTTCATGCGATAGGCAGTGTCTAAAAAATCAGTTACTAACTTTCAAAAACATTGAAATATCTACGGTATTTAAACACAGTGTCTTCTAGTTTCTCATAAGAAAAGTAAGCTGTAAACATCTTCGCCTTTAGTTCATGCCTTGTTTGCTAGGTAATCCTTTCCCCCCCCCTTTTTTTTTTTATCTACAACCATTGGTGAATAAGTCTGTGTTCTCAAAAATATTACATTCCATGAGTAAAGCACAAGTCTATTATGTAACCATGTGATACAGATACAGAAAATGAACTACAGTATTCAAAAACATAAAAGAAAAATTACTAAAACAGTCCATAGCTGTTAGAGCAGATTCTTTCAGAATACAACAGACCAATAGTGTTACACTAAAAATGTCCAAAAATAAGGCCTCTGAAATAAATATTTCCATTCTTTAAAAAAAGAGATAATAAAAATGTACATCACATGGTCAATGTGGGTATAAAAATCATCAAACTAAACCATTCTGGATGACGTATCTGAAGTAAAATGGCCTAAGTTTTGCTTCTGCCGACGTCCTCTATTGTTTTTAGGGCATTTTCTGTTTAAAGGAAAACAAAGAAAAGGCATTTTATAAATGCAGAATAGTACTGAAAGCATCGTTCTACATTTACTTTCCTTTACACCCCAAAATATCAAGATCAGTAGGGGAGCGCAGCTCACATCTGGGTCCCACTTTGGCACTTCAGAGTGTCTAAGAGACTGTGTGACCCCCTGGTTGCTCAGCGGAGACTTCTTCCATCTGAGACTGAGGCTCAATCCTGCACAGTTCTGAGCATTTTACTCTGATCCAGGAAATTATTTATAATTCTGAACAATCCTGTTGACATGGCTAGAACTACTTAAGTGCTTAAAATTGTATACATGATTAGCAGTGGTCCAGTAGTCTGGTAGCCAGGGGTGGTGCAGGGCTCTGGGGCCCAATCCTGCACAGGGCTAGCACAGGCCTGATCCAAGTGTGCTGGGATGGGTGGAGGCAATGTAGGGACTAGCCCATGGGACCAGAAGATTGAGTACTACTGGGCTATTGGTTAAAAAAAAACAGGAGGAAGGGAGAACCATAATAACTTCTGTATCTGCTCCTATAGTGGTCTTCTGTGTGGCATTAGACATCCTCTGGGCATATCTGTTGGATCAGACCTCATAAGTAAGAAAGGTGGGTGAAGGCCTATTTTGTCATCTTGATGGGCTTAGGCATGACACAGGTGCTGAGCAGCTAGCAGTAATCAGGACTTAGGCAGTTATGTGCCCACAAAGCATCAGAAACTGAGGGCCAGATTCTATTCCATCTATCAGAACTGGAAACGGACTTAGATGCTTAAATGTGGTGCTATTCCACCCTGCTAAGCCTCTGGAAAACTGTTAATACAGATGGTGAGTGGGGTCTCCTCTTCCTCGCTGCATAGTATGATTCAATCATAAAGGTACAACGATGGGCTGTTAGAGAAGTAGATGTATTAATTCGTTTTCAGGGACTTGAACAGGGTGGAATAGAGTTCCACTTATGTGCCTAAGCCCTAAGGCTCCATATGTATAGCTAGCTGCATCTCAATTTCCAGTACAGTTTAAAGGACTTGCTGTGACCCATAAAGTCCTAAATAGTTGAGAAAAAGGGTATGTGAGGGATAACTTTCTCTCTCCATGTAACAATACTCCAGCTGTGACCAGTGGAAGTATTTAAACCACCAGCTTTGGTTTATATGCAAGGGAGAGGGGGCATGGCATTTTCTACCAGATATTTTCAGTTCTTGAATCACTCCCATTTTTGTCTACAACATAATCTGATTTATTGGATAAAATGCATGGCTTATCTATTCTCACATGCTTTTTGGTTTGGAGATTGGTGGAGATGTCCAAAATGGCTAGTTATGATCTGTATGTAAAGGGGTGTTTTCTTGAATCACTAGACCAGACTAGGTTACTGTATTTTGTATTTGTTTAAAACACAGAGAATTTTGGAGTAGACAATTTCCTGAATATTTAGTTTCTAAATAAATGCATGCGTTTATAAAATGTATCCAGTCATAAAATCTGTGATGCATATTGCTTTGTAATTGCCTACCTTGTTATGCACATGACAATTGCAACTATAATGGCAATCTGTACAGCTCCAATTATGGCTGCAATAAGGACATGAGTAAGCTTTTGTCTACTTGGAACAACATATAGAATACTAAAGTCTGTCTTTTCACAGTGCTGTCCAGTATATCCTGATTCACACCTGAAAGAGAAAAGGAACATTTCACAGAATACACTGTTTTCATCGCTTTATAGATGAAGTATTAATCTGGTATATTGAAAACATGGAAAAATCAAGATATAACATAAGGACTGGAGGGTATTATAGTGATGGAAGAACTCACTCTTTGTGACTGCACTGCTACTTCAGGATGAATTAACGTCAGAGACCTAGTATGAAATATGAAGGAGATAACTGCCCAAGGGACTGCCTCTGAGGTTCTGCTAATTTTGAGAATGAATGAAGCCAGGAGGGCTGTAGCAGTAAACCAGTAGCGAAGAAGGTAGGGAGAGATGCAAAGTTTGATGGAGCATGGTTTCTTCTTCCATGGAGAAAGAGGGTGCAACAGACTGGGTGTTCTCCACTGTCAGAGAGGGCAGCTCCTTTCAACTGAATACAACTGAGATAGAGGTTAAGGGCCTAATTCAGCAAAGTAAGTGTACTCTTTAAGTATGTGAGTTGTTTCACTGATTTCAATGGGAGTACCTGTCTGAATCAAGTTAAGCGCATGCCAAAGAGTCTTGCTGAACTGGAACCCAAATTAAGGAACAATAAAGAGTTTGATAAAACAGGTGGTTAAGGAATAGTGGAGAAATGCAAACCAGAAAGAGGGGATGTAAAACTAAACAGAAGTACCAAGGGAGAATGAAAGACAAAGGAGAAAGGGAAGTGATACCGTGAAAGCAACATGCTAATATAACAGGCCTATCAGAGCTGAACAGACCCAGTAGAGTGTGGTTGCTGTCACTTACAGGAACTGATCCCTGAGAGATCTGTTTGTAAGCTTCGGGGTCCAAATGCAAGCCTGTCCCACCTTTCCCCATTAGCCTAGACTCACAGAATGCCAAGTTGGCCAGAAGTCCAGGCCACAAATTCTCAACAAAGGCCAGGTGAGTCCCCCGGAGACTGGTACAGAAAAATCAGAAAAGCTCAGAAGTATGACAGCTTATAGGTCAGGTAAGTCATGTAGAAAGACAGCAGTCAAATTCCAGGCAAGACGGAGTCCTCCTCCACCCCATTAGAAACTCATTCGGAGGCAGGGAATGTGCTGGCCCTCTTCAGATCAAGCAAGTAACAATGCTTATATGGAAATGCTTGGAAATTTGGGAGGGGTGCGAGCAGGCAGGGAGAAGGCAAAACAGGAGCAGCTGTTGTGAATAGCACATGTTGTGAGTAAACTAGCATATCTCATTGGAAAATTCAGTGGATGTTCTTAATGATGAGTAACACAAACTTAGTCCCTGCTGAGCCTGGCAGTGGTGAAGAAGCCAGTAAGAGGGTGCCTCTGGGTGACCCATGCTCTCAAGGGAAGGGAGGATGAAGAGCACAAGGAGAGGCAAGCAGAGAGTCAGGACTTGCTTGTCCCCTGTGAAGTCTACACAGTTAATGAGCTGCACCATGCAGCCAGAGCCAGGCCATTGGCCTCCCTTCACTTGGGAGGAGCTAAATATATACAGAACTACCTCAGCTTTCATTGAAAAATGGAAACCTGTGGCTTTTGGCCTTGTAAAGGCATCCTTGAAAACAAAGTGATGTAAAAATATCACCAAACTTGAATTAAATGAGCAATTGTCCTTCTTTTCTGCAGCAGGAGGCTGGAAAGGAATGCACAAAACTAGGAAAAGTAGGTGTGCCAAAGAATCACTCTTTATCTGACTCCCAAATCCACCCTTGGCCTTTGTGGTACAATAATTATGTTTGGAGAGGCAAAAATGTGTTCCACTGGCCTCATCAAAACACTGAAAGTAGTCCTAATTTCTCTTTTACATGCAGGGAAAATGCATTCAGCACTATGAAATCCATCATTATTATAACTTAATTTTACCTATCTATAGGCTTCTCTGCAGGAGTCATATTTTCCTCACAAATGAGAGAAGTTCTAATAAATGCAGAGTTATTAAGAAAAAGGCACAACATTTTTGTAGGGATCATAAACCATGGATAGGAAAGGAACCAACAGAAATTCATGTATGTATATAAGAAAGAAAAAGCTGAAAGAGGCTGAAATTATATGTCCGTTACTTAATAGGAAGGAATAGAGAATTAGAAATGATAGGTAGAATCTATCTATAAGTAATGATCGGAAG